AGCTGCCCTCAAAATGTTAATTTCAAAGAGAAGTATTCTCACTTGATAAGTTTAAAAGGGCTTAGCATCTCATCACTTACTTTATTTTTAAGTCTTTTTTTAGGTAATTGGGATTAAGTGACTTGCCCAGGGTCACACAGCTAATAAATGTCAATGTTTGGTCTGAGGCTAGATTTGAACTCAGGTCCTCCTGACTTCAGGGCCGGTGCTCTATCCACTGTGCCACCTAGCTGCCCTCATAACTTACTTTAAATGAGATGACTGGGTTCATTTGCTCAACTCTGCCCCTATAATTGTAAATAAAAACAATTTTGAAAGACTTAAGAACTATGATCAATGTATTAACCCAGAACTCCAGAGGGTCAGGACTGATGATGGAGAATTGTACTCCTTCTTGATGAAGAGGTGATAGACTCAAGATACAGAAAGAGATATCCATTTTTTGTTATGACCAGTGTTGGGATTTGTGTTGCTTAACCATACATATTTGTTACAAGGTTTTTGTTTTTCAATTTCATCTTGGATGGTGGGAAGACAGTAATTGGGAGTAAGAAGGGGAAGGAGACTATTGGTAGTATTGGGGGGGGGAAGAAGAAAAATAAGTAAAGGGGATCATTGAAGCATTTTTTCTTTAAAGTAGAGAGGAGAACAAATGGAAATCCAGAAAGGATTACAGACAAGTATGACGACTTTGAAAGTTACATGTTTAATATTTTATATTCTTAAATTAAAAACAAGCTATATATAATAAGAAATTCACAGTTTCATGCATGGTCCCCCTTTTCTGTTCTACTTGGAATATGGAAATACTCTTATTTTTTTAGAATTAATTCTTTTTGATAAAATAGATAACTTTGACTATGTGAAACTGAAAAGCTTCTCCATGGACAAATTTAATGCACCTAGGGTAAGAAAGGGAAGTGGTCAAATGGGAAAAAAAAAAACACTTGTATCAAATTTCTCTGAAAAGGGTTTGGTATCTAAGATATATAAACATTTAACATGCATACATACACGTACACACACATATATGTATGTATAATATGAGTAAAACTATTCCCCAATAAATAAGTGGTCAAAGGATATGAATGAAAACTTCTCAAAAGAATTATAAACTATTATAACTATATGAAAGAATGCTCCAAATCAGTATTAGTAAGATAAACGCAAATCAAAACAATTCTGAAGTCTCAATCCATACACTACAAATTGGCAAAGATACCAAAAGATGGGAATAGTCAGGTATTGAAGGGGTTGCAGGAAGATGGACACCCCAGTGCATTGTTGTAAAGGGGATCAATGAAGCATTTTTCTTTAAAGTACAGAAGAGAACAAATGGAAACCCAGCAGGAAAACTGTAAATCAGTACTACTAGTTTGGAAAGTAATTTCAAATTTATACAAATAAAGTGATCAAAATGTACATATCTTTTGACAGAGCTTCCACTACTAGCTTTATACCTAGGGAGGCTATTGATAAGAAGAAAGTTCCCATATGTACCAAAATATTTATAACAGCCCTTTCTGTGACAGCAAAGGATTGGAAATAAAGTAGATGCCTACTGAATGGAGAATGGCTAAACAAATTGTGGTACATGAATATAATAGAATATTACTGTGCCATAAGAAATTATGAATATGATGAATGTGGAGAGGCATGGAAAAATCTACATGAACTAACTGAGGGTAAGTGAAGTAAGCAGAGCCAAGGAAACAATGCACACAGTGACTACAACAATATAAGCAGATAGAACAACCACACCAAAAAAAAAAAATCAAAAGTGAATGTTGCTAAATTATAATAAAGAATGAGCATGGCTCAAAAGAATATACAAGAAAGATATCCCCACTCCTTCACAGAAGTGGGAGGTCCACAAACCTTGTACACTGCACATATTTTCAGACTTTTTTCAATTCATTGGTCAGTTTTGCTGATTCCCCCTCCTCTTTTTTCTCTTAAAAAATATAATTTATTATTTGAGATGGCAGGGAGTACTAGGGAAAATTATAGTCATGTAAAAAGTTATATCAATAAAATTATATTTTAAAAGAAATTAATGTGACATAAAAGAAAGATAATTTTTTTAAAAAGAAAATGTTACTATGGATTAGGGGAAATGAATGTGTGGATGGGAGAAGGAAGATAGCAAAATGAGATTTCCCCATAAAATGACAGGGTCGGGCTAGACAGCCTTTAAGATGGATGACCTTTCAATTTTTATCTTTAAGTATATTCAAGATTGCACTTGAACAAAACACTGGGGCCATGACAGGAACAAAATTTAGAGACAATCTTTCCTATCCCTTCAGCAAAAACTGTCTTTGGCTGGCTCATAGTTGTTAGGTATTAGGAGAAAAGCTTTCAGGTTACATTAATTCATGCAGATTGTGTGAATGACTGGCAGTCCCTTAACCTTCCCAAAGGCAGGTTTCAAGAGGCAGAACAAAGGCTAGGGAGGACAACCAGGACGTCCCCACCGGGTGACAGTTCCTCAGGGCAATCTTCCATTTGGTGGTCCCATAAAGCAGCAACACAAGGGCCCCATTATCAATGCTGCTCTCCACTCTGCTTCTCTGAAGGTGAATTCGGTCAGGGAATTGTGAGAATCAGTACTAGCGCCATTGTTTTGCAACAACTCGTTGCATGGGATTGCATATTCTTAACATCAGTGGATGTTATGTTTTATATAAAGCAGCAAGGTGGCTAGAGCATTGGATTTGGAGTCAGGAAGACTTGCCTTTTCACAGAGGTGGGGAACCTGCTGCCTCCAGGCCACATGTGACCTTCTAGGTCCTTGGGTGTGGCCTTTCGACTAAATTCAAGTTTTACCGAACAAAGCCTTTTATTAAGGGGATTTGTTCTGTGGAGTTCCGATTCAGTCAAAGGGCTGCGCTTGAGGATGTAGAGGGCCACATGTGGCCTCGAGGCTACAGGCTCCCCACCTCTGCACCTAGTATGAGTGATTCATAATAAATAAACTCACAAGAGACTGACTGGTAAATCAGGGCACCAGTTTATTCACGTATTAGAGAAAACCCACTTAGTGTGATAAGTAGCAACAGCTTTTTCTTCCCCAGTTTTTCTTTTTCCATTCAAATTCCCCTACCTCACAGTTGTGTCTAACACAGAGCTGACACAGACAGGAAAATCAGCATTTCACAGGAAGGTTTTGTTCACCAGGTTTGCCAGGTTGCTGGCCTGCTCTGAGCTACCAAGGACATCCTGGGTATGTAGGTTGGTCCCTAACTTAGATAGCCCCAGACCTCTCTTAGGAGCCTGGGAGGAGTTTCAAGGAAAAGAGCATTCTTCGGTATGCAAATAGGTTCTTGGATATTCAGAACTGTAACTAACAATTTTGCCCCAGTCTCCCACTCTCTCAGCCCACCCCCAGAAGCAAGTAGCAAGAAAGGCACCTGGGTGCATAATACATGATGGCCCTCACAGTCAGCCTTATAATTCATTTGCAAATTACACAAGAAGCAATCAAAACCAATTCAGTTGAGTGGGAGGGCTGAGTTACTATAGTGTCTTTTAACTACCGAAGGCCTGCTCGTGTTGATTTTAAGCTCTAAAAATGTTGGCACCCAGAGTCAAAATACCAGTCACCCCAGAGTGGTTCTGGTTCTGGGGATGTATACACCTTTCCCCTGCTCATTGTAACTGATTTAGACAAGGTTCTACATATAAATGCCTGTATGGTCAAATGCTGATAGACTATAACGACAGGCTAGTAAAATATAGATTCTTCTCCTAGTACTACTCACTTTCCATCTCCCTTTCCTTCCCACACACCTATCTCTAGGCAATGGCCTAATCCTTTCATTTGCCCTGGGAGACCATGAACATTTCCCTAATTGTATGATCTAGTTCTTTTACACTTAAAGTATAACTAGTGGCTAAGAAATCTTCCCTACTAGTCTCTCTCCACTCTTAAATTCTATTATCTAATTCTAGAGTATCTGTTTGATCTGGTGCTGAAGCAAATGGAAGGGCTCTTTTGGGTGTGAGTAATCTGCCAATGGAAGTTTAGAATCCTAGCCCTCCCAGGAATTCTTCTCTGCTCCACACAGGCTCAGTGGAGGGATCTCAGAGCATCAGGAGGAAATCAATGCATTTTTTTTTTATTAGTCCTGTACCTTCGTAGAATGTTAAAGGCAGAAGGGACCTCAGAAACTATCTAGTCCTCACCCCCCCTTTTTTTTTTACAGAAAAGGAAACGGAAGTCGAAAGCAGTTAAATGACTTCCCTAAGGTCAAACAAGTAATAAATGTCTGAGGCAGGATTTAAACCAGGGCCAGTGTTCTTTCTGCTGTATCCACTGCCCCGATTCTCATCTCATGTGTTTTCTACCATACCATGTCTTGAAACAGTGAGATAGGAAAAAGACCTTAAAAGTCAACACAGAAATTCCATTCTATAAAATTCCTGTCCAAAGCATAAATTCTATTCCATGAAATCCCTGTCAATTAGTCATATAACCTTTGCTTAAATACTTTCAGTTATGTGGAATTCCCTATCCAATAAGGCAGCTCATTCCATTCCTACCCTGCTCTCAGCATTAGGATGGTCTTCCTTTCGGTGAGCTGAAATTTAAATCATCCTCTTTGACCAGTGGGTCCCATTTCTGCCTTTTAGAACCACACAGAATAAGTCAAATGCCTCTTCTGAAGGATAACCCTTTGAATAGATGAAGATGGGTAGTATATGTGTCCCTCCACTTAGCTTCTCTAAGCCAACCCCACCCCCACCAGTTTCTTCAACTGATCATCGTATGACACAGCTTCCAGACCCTTCAGCATCCTAGTTACTGTTCTCTAGATCTGCTTTAGGTCATCAGTGTCCCTCTGTCCTCCACCAAATACAACACTCCAGATAGGACTTGATGAGGGCATCCTGAACCCTGTTGCCAGCAGCTTAGGTCATACCTAACCTGTGCATGGCTAAGAGACCCGTGATGCTCCTGCCATGAAATCCCATTGGCATGGAAGAGAGGAAGGAGAAACTATTATAAACATTTTATTATGAACCAGACTATCCAGGTCCCTGGCACCAAGATCCCGCTTACTTCAGTTAGCTGGCCTCAAGCTCTGTACTCAAAGTAAGAATCTCTCACATTTCTATCTTTTGCGGAGACCCTTTCCCCAGAGGGGAATGTTTGGTATGTCTTCAGGTTCTCAGGGGCCATTCTAAACAGGTGCCACTTTTTTTTCAGGGACAGCGGTGGTCTGTGGAAAAAAGGAGAAGGGAAATGAGGACAGGTCTGGGCAGTTTGCTAAGCAAAGAGAGAGAGAGAGATTTTTGCCATGAAACTACCAAGTGAGAAGGACCCTTCTAATCCATTCTTCAGACAGTCTGGATGCCAGACTCATCATTAGACTATCTTTTTAGATGAATCTGAGTCTGAGCCATTCGACCCAGGCTTTGCTGCACTAACACTTAGAATCACAGTATTTTGGAGCAGTATTTTGAGGTGAGGTGATTTGCCCAAGGGCATACAACTAGTTATTAATAGAACAAGGACTAGAGAAGTCACAGCTCCTGAATGTCAGGTCGGGGGACCTCTCTTCTGCCCCTCCACAACTCCATTCCATCCTCCTTGTAGTTGTGTGAGGCAGGGAGCATAGCCAAGAGCTGTGATAAAAAAGCAGGTTGAGTGGAAGTCTTGTGTAACTCACTCCATGGAGAGCTCATCTGGTGATCTGGAGTTCGGTTGGGAGATCATGTTCGAGTGATTTCCTGCACACCCCAGAGGAGACCCCACAGTTTTCCAAATGTACACTCATTCACACTCACTGTTCCCCAGAGTCTTCCAAAAACACACAGTCAGAAACAAACAAGAAGAGGATGGCAGCACACTGAGTGCAATGAGGTAGGGATAGGGGTGTGCTGGTAGATGTTTAACAACCAACTCTCTGAGGGAAAAAATGTCTATATAACCCTTTTAAGTTTTATCCAAATCATTTGCATTTTTCTATCACTTTCTTAAGTCTTGACAACCAATGAAACAAAACAAAACAAAAAAGCTCTGATTTGTAACATTTGCCAATTTCTGAGGTGTAAATGCTTACACTGAAAATTTAACTATCAGGAAAATTTAACTATCAGGAGCTAGTAAAAGCTCACTCCAGCACCCCACTGACTAGGGGTCAGAAGACCTGGAATCTTTATCTAGGTTACTGGATCACTTCTTTGCTGTGTGATCCAGGGCAAATCACTCAATCACTTTCCTAACCTGATTTTATGTACTCATCAGTAAAATGGTAATAAAAATAACATGTATATCATTGACCTCACAAAGTTGTGAGAGCCAAATGAGACAGCACATGTAATTGTGCTTTGAAAATTAAAGACCCAGACACAGGGAAGGTGACACTATGTAGGCAGCGGGTGGCTTAGTGGATAGAGTGCTACACTTGGAGTCTGGAAGACCTGAGCTGAGATCTGGCCTCAGATACTTATTAACTGTGTGTCCCTGGGCAAGTTATTTAGCTGCGATTTGCCTCACTCAGTTGTAAAATGGGGATAATAATAGCATCTACCTCGCAGAATTATTGTGAAAATTATATAATAGGCGCTATATAAATGCTCATTATCCCCCCCCACCACCCTTTATAGCCACATACTTTTTTTTTTGAGGCAATTGGAGTTAAGTGACTTGCCCAGAGTCACACAGCTAGTATGCTTTATGTGTCTGAGACCAGATTTGAATTCAGGTATTCCTGACTCCAGGGCCAGTGCTGTATCTACTGCACCACCCTGCTGCCCCTGACATATGCTTTTTTATCATTGTCCTCAAAACCACAGGTCCTATGAGGCAAGATGTTTTCAGTATGGCCGCAACAGGTAGCTTTGTGGATTGCTTCTCAGCTTCCCACCCCTGCCTACCAGTCAGAGGGTCCATTGGGCACAAACTCCCTACAATGGACAGTGTTTTAAATAAGTATACATATGTGTATGTATATATGTGGTGTGTATTTGCTTAATGCAGCAAAAATTCTCTATGAGTAATAACAATTAGGATAGGTCCCACTTCCTGGCCTTCAACACAAACCTTCCTATGTCTTATTCTTTCTTTAGCTTCAGTAACTAATTGTTTCCTAGTTCTCTCTCTTATGAAAACATTTTTGGCTAAACCAAATGTCTAGCTGGTCTCACCACGAGGGGGCACTCAATACCTGAAAATTCAGCTGACTTCTGAGATTTAGTGAAATAAAGGGGAATAAAGTCTCATCTCCACCTTCCACCCCACCACCCACAACAATTGCCTGTTCTCTCCTGGTGACATTAAGCTCACACTTCCAGGAGGGAAGGGGCAGGGAGTAAACACAGTTTCTATCAGAATGTTCTAAGGAACCCAGACATCTCAGAAATGTTACCTATCCCCCATTTATCTGTCCCCACCCTCCCTCCACCCTATACCCCACCCATACCCTCCCCCACCTGGAAAAGTATGGAATATGAGACACACAACAGGAAATGGAATTGGAGTATGCTGGCCACAGCCCCACACCTTACATGGGAGCAGATGACATTGCTCAGCCTTCAGGAATGATCCCTATAGGCCTCTAGCTCAGTGGACCCTTTTGGGGATGACTGAGCGGTATTGTCCTGGGTAGTTGGTTTATTTAGGTAAGGACCAACAAACCTCTTTAAGGCCTTGGAGATTAGTTTAAATTCTGGACCATTTCCGGGTTCTGAGTGCTGCTCCTAAAATCCAGAAAAGTAAACACAAGTGTCAGCAGAACAAGGACAAAAACGGGGGGGTGGGGGGGAGCTCAAGCTGAGGACAGTGAAAATGGTGCCTACATAGAGCCATACTGAGCCTAGGGTACTTCGGACAATGATTCAGGGAAGCAGCAATTGGGGGAGGGACTGGGGGGAGGGGAGCAGGGAAGTGAGGAGCAGAGAGGAGAAAGGAGTATGCCAGAAACTTAGAGAAATATGCGTTCTGCCCATAAATCCCTGCACCATTACCCAGCTAAGGTCAGGACAGTACTTCCAAACATAAATTTTGGCCACCCTGTCAGTTTTCCTTTACTTCTCATTTCTGCCTCTTAAAATCCCCTGTTTTATTCAAGATCCAGTTCAAAAATGAGCCTTTTTCTCATTTCCACAATTGTCAGTACTTCTTGCCCCCTGAAATTAGTTTGTATTTGCTTTATGTATGTTTTTATAGCAACTTATGTGTGTATATGTTGTTTTACCCTAGTAGAAAGTAAGCTCCTTGAGGACATTTTTCTATTTTCCTCCCCTTTATCTAGCTCAACCCCTTTTGCAGAGTAGGTATTTACATAAATGTTGAATGGAATAGGAATGAGGATGGAATGGAATTCCTCAAGGCCCTTAATGATCATTCTATCCAGATTTCATCCCATTACAAATGTTGGGGGAGATTTGTTAGGCCCTAAGTGGTTCATGAAGAGTTGGACGTGACTGAAACGCCTCCACGACAGGACAGCCTAATGGAAAGGTCCTTGGATCTGGAGTCAGAGGATCTGGGTTCAAATCATGGATAATCTTAACCAATCATTCTCCCTCTCTAGGCCTCATCTCCTCACCAGTAAAATTGAAGGTGGTGGAGGAGGAGGGTTGAACTAGAAAAGCTTTAAGGTTTTGTTTCTTTTTAACCTGGGTCAGCCTCACCCTCACCATCATCCTTCCTTGGCCTTAGGAGAAACAAAGAAGAGAAACATAAGAAAACCTGTTCCCAGGAGGGGACTTAGATTGTTGAATGAGGTGTTTTCATCTCCTTGGCTTGCCCAGTGAGTTATTCACTATCAAGGTCTATGCATCTGACTACCACCATTGCCTGACTCCTTGAAGTTGGAGTGGGGGAATACTGAGGGAAAAGTTGAGAGCCATGGACTCAGTGTTTTCCAGCTGAGAAGGATCTTAAAGGTCATTTAAGCCAATCTCTTCACATTATGACTGAGGAAGTCGAGACCCAATGAGGTAAAATATCTTGTCCAATGTCACATAGCTGACAGAACAGCTTATTCAGACCCAACTCTTCTGACTCCAAGAACAGGGGTCTTTCTTCCCCTATGTATACCAGGAAAGTCCAGAAGAGTCCAGTGGTGTGGAAGGAGGCCGAGCCCCAGATGAAGAACCCCTGATCCTGACCTGAACCCATCTTGAACTGAGGTTGATTCAACCATTCCCAAACCTCAGTGAAGGACTCAATTAGCCTAGGGAGACATGTCAGCATCCACCCTTGCCCCCTATCAGTCCCCTTCCCTCTTCAATCTTAACCTATCCTTTCTAGCCCAACTCTACCACACCTTCACTGACTCACTCATTTCCACCACTTTTTCGCCTCAGTCAACCATGAATTTGCCCCAGCTAAAAGCTGTTTTAGCAGCAATCTGGGTGAACTTTATGCCCTCATCATGTATCATTTTGCATTGTAATTACTCATTTGTGCATCATGATCTTACCTCTGACATAACTTTTCCTAACTGAGTCAATCTTGGCAGAGGGGCAAGGAGACACCTCCCAGCCAAAGTGCAGAGCTCAGAAAGGGAGTTTCTGGAAAGCTATGGATTGGGAAAGTAGAAATAGAAGAGAAGCTCCATAAAGACAGAAGTGTTCTGAAGACAGGAGGCCAACTGAGAGCCATAGAGAAGCCAGACCTGACCCAGGCCAGAGGACACAGATAAAGGCTTCCCTCCCCATAGTCCAAGGCTGAGGATCAGTTGTCTCAGCTTCCTTCAGACTTGAGAAAAAGCAGAGCCAGAAATAGTAGGAGGTATGAGAGTAGCCCAAGACAGAGAGTAAGCAAGACCTCCCCCTGACACACAGTGTCAGAGGCTAGAACGCTATGGTCTGGCTGGATGTCCCTGGGCATGGTACTCTAACCCACAGTGCCCTCAGACAACTTGCTAAAACTATAAACTATCTGGAAGGTGCCCATCTGTATTGGGTACAGGGAATTTCTTGCAGAACTTACCATAACTTTGAAATTATGGGTCTGGGGCATAGGGTCTGTGAGAAAAGCTTTGCTTTGCAGCAAAGATCCCAACACGTTCTGCAGTAGCCTAGGAGATTTAGGGCAATGGGGTACAGTATTCACTAGACTATAAAGTTGGTGAGGGCAGGGATCTGTTTAATGTAAATGTTACATCTCCCCCAGCACCATAGTGCTGTGTAAACTGTAGGTCTTTAAAAATGTTTTTGGCTATGAAGCTTGCCTCCATCCCCTCAACATAGAGGTGGCTGCTTGTGAGGAAGGAATAAGGCAAATGTTAGATACAGTCAGTTTGTTCATTATGAGAGGGTTCTATAGAGGTGTGTGAGTGTGTGTGTGTGTGTGTGTGTGTGTGTGAGTGCATACATACGTATGGGTGGCTGTGGGTGGGTGGATGGGTGGGGAGACATTCAGAAGTGGTAAGGATGTTTTAAAAAGCAGCAGTACTATGTATATATATATACATATTATATATATATATATATATATGTATATATGTATATATGTATGTATATTTTAAAGAGAAGAAAAATCATGGACATTGCCCACTGTAAGGCTTCCCCTAGATGCTGCCCTCCACCAGCACTAGTTAGTAAGATCTGTGACTTAGAGCACTTTTGGAGAGACAGAAACATAGACCTCCTTGCGCCATGGCATCAGGGAAACTCAAGAAGCCTGAACTCCTCTCTTGAATACCCATTGGACTCTCTTCCCCTGAAGGACTAAAACCTCCTGCCTTTATCCTGAACCTTCTCTATCTCTCAGCTTCATTTCCTGTCCCTCAGAATTGTGAGATAGAGTGTCCCCAAGAAGCATCTTAGATGGAATGAGTGGGGTGGGGTAGGCTGGAGAGGAGTGGTACTCACAGATCAGTAGGCAGAGGATAACGATCCTTCTCCTTCACAGGCAGCACAAAGTAAGGGACTCGGTTCACGGTGCTCGTCTTGTCTCGGTAATGTTCTCGGTGCATCTGTACCAGCTATAGCTCAAACCAAGGAAGGTGGTGGCAGACAGGTCAGTCAGTGGGCCGCTATGGCCTACAGGCACTCACATTTCTGTGCCCTTGTGCCTGGGGGATCCTCACCTGGAGGTCCCACCATTTGTACTCTTTGATGTCCCTAGATGGGGGACATCTTTCTGATGTCAACGTCTTTCTGAACTGGGAATCATCTGGACCTGAGTCTGGGGAAAGACAAGGTCTTTCCCAAGGGAGCTTCCTTCCTGGTCACCGTCATCCTACTTCAGGTGCATTCTGTTTTGGGGAATTTCTGATAGTAATGGCCCCCCACACTGACCCTTACACAGAGTTAATTTAGATGGCCATCCCCTCCCCTTCAACTCAAAGAATATTATTCTCCAGGGAATAGGAGAGACATAAGTGTATATATTATTGTTACCTTGGTTGAGAGAGCTATTTATGGGGAGAGAAGAAAGGACAGGAGTTTCTGAAGCATCCTTCCCTTAGGATAGCAGAGAGAGACTCTAGTGAGTACACTAGCTGTATTTCCCAACCCAGGGCCTTCTTGTTCCACAGTGATGGATTGCTTGGTCCTTTCTATAGGATTCACATTAACTATGATACGTAGGGGCAGGGGGACATATTGGAGGCCCTTAACTAATGGGAACTTAGGGCAAGGACTTAAGAACAAGGAAAGTAACAGGAAGAAAATGTGTGGGTTGTCACAGCCAAATTCTAGAGCTCAGCCATTCCTAATTTAGAGGGTCTTTGGTAGACCCAGGACAATTTCTGAGGGGAATTCTGGGGTCTTGGTTCATATCTGAGCCCCAAATCCCATCTATATGAGGCCTGAACTTCCAATGTTACTCAAGAACTGGGAGAGCTTATTGGATGACGAACACCCTCGATGTCTTTCCCACGGAGAAGAATTCAATTCTAGCCTAGTCCTTGGCCAGGCCAGACCCAGGAAACCTTATCCAGATAGTCCTCAGGAAGGCCAGATTGTCCTTAGGTCTTCCAAGTCTTCAAGAAGATCAGGTTAGTTCCATGGTCAAGCTGGGAGTTCAGGCCTATTTTAGAGTGGACCTAGGGTTCTGGTTTGCACCAGGATTCCTGAGGTCACCTCAATGTGTAGCTTATTATCAAGGATTCTCTAGAAATAATGTAGGGCAGAGATTACTCCCAGAGCAGACCTGGGATTGGATCAGAATTGAACTGGAATTTGAGTAAGGCAGCATTTACCTGGATCTCTCTAAGTTGAATTTCTCTATGTAAGAATCCTGGGAGTTTGGGTCTTCTTGGAATGATGCTGAACATAGGGCCTGAGGAATGCAGAGGGGTTGCAGAAGCAGGTCCAGGCTACTTTATTGGGGCCTGCATGAACCACCCCAGCCCTGGGAATATGCCCAGTATATGACTCCAGTAGAAAAAATAAGACTATAGGGTGAATATCACCGGGGCTGGGCAGAGCTCAAGTCAAGTCCCTTCATATGTGATCCTTTGCCCTAGAGACCTTTAAGCTACTTCCCACCCACCTAAAGGGATGGGCTCTTCTACTATACAAGAAGCCCTGATTTGATTATAGCAAATGCCATGTTCTTTAAGGGTGAGATATACCTGAGGCCAGGGGGTTTAGTTCTGATTGCTTAGGTCCATCTATTGACTTACATACTTTTCTCTGTTTCCACGAGTCCTTCAATAAAGCCTATGTCAGCAAACTCACCAAGAATAGGCCCTATTTTGTCCAGTTTGGAGACAAGAGGTTAATGGACAATAGAAAGTATGACCTCTCAGGGGATGTTTCTTAACTCCAGAATGACCCCATCCATACCATATCATGTCAGCAGAGGAAATATACCATTCAACAGGCCATTATAGGGGCCTTGGGACGCACCCCCCTCCCCGAAGAAGTTTCCCCCAGTCTCTGGAAAGCTATTAAGTTTCTTTAGGGAGGAAGGAAGGTAGAAAACACAAACTCCTCAACCCTCTTCCCACTGATCCCTCTCATCCTGCCAGGCTACTAGACTCAGCCTAGGCTCACAGATCCAGAAGCATCTGGAACCCCAAAGGATAACTCTGAGGAAATGAGTTCCTCCTCCCAAACACCACAATGTGGAGCAAAATTCACCCCAGTCAGGCTAGGAGTTCATAAACTGAGAGCTGGATGGGGCCTGCCTTAGAGGCCATCTGATCTACTCTCCTCACTTTGCTCATGAGGAAAGTGAGGCCCAGAATTGGTGAAGTTACTTGAATAAAGTCACTCAGACCCAGGATTCGAACCCAGGTCTTCTATTTCCAAACCCAGTGCCCTTTCGGGGTGCTAGTAGTCACACCTTTCTCCCTAATGGATTCCCAACTCACCTGGTAGAATTGCTTGAGCTCTGCAGATCTGTTGCAGTCAAGGTTATAGCGCGTGTAGGTGGGTGTATGCAGCCAGCGGTCCCAGGCATGGGAGCAATAACCCAGCGCCAGGTTGGGATTTCGAGAGAAAAGTGTTGGGAACTGGCCACCTCTCCTATAGGAACTATAGCTAGTATCCGTGGCTGAATTTCGGCAATCTTGGAAATACTTATGGGTGGCATTGCCATAGGTGTCCCCAAAGGAGAAGGCCACATTTGGAACATGACCCTGATACCTAAAGAAGACACGAAAACAATGAGGTGATTCCTGGGACAACAGAAGCGGTGTGGTGTCATGGAAAGTAAAAGGATCTGGGTTTCAATTCTAGCTGTACCACTTTAAGACCTGTGAGACCTTGAGCAAGTCATTTAACTTCTAGTTTGCTCATCTGTAGGAGGAGGGGGTTGGACTACATGCCCTCTAAAGTCTCCTTCACCTCTAGATCTATGATTCCATGAGAAGGAAGAATCCTGACTCTTCTAGATAGAGGTAGACGAGAGGTGTTAAATACACAGGAAGCTATACGTGGTCTACAACACTCTCAAGTACAGTCTAAACAAGATTAAAATGTAATTGGGAAATATTTAACAAAAAGAAATAAAAATACAATAAAACATAAATAATGTTAATATGTGGGTTTTTAAGTCAATCTGTGGCCTGTAGGGATCCTTCTATACAGTCTAGTGGCCCAGACAACTGGCTAAGTTAGCTTGAGGAGTCCCTTCAAGGCTTTCTAGGGTAGCCTGAACAGCTGTTCTTTTTTTTTTTTATGTATGAGGCAATTGGGGTTAAGTGACTTGCCCAGAGTCACACAGCTAGTGAATGTTATTTGTCTAAGGGCAGATTTGAACTCAGGTCCTCCTGACTGGTACTCTATCCATGTACCACCTAGCTGCCCCTGAACAGCTGTTCTTTTAGGTAGGAGAGAAAGTAGAGGGAGCCTTGGGATTTTCTTAGCAGTAGGTCTTACCCCAACCCCTCCAAGGAAAGGCTCCAGAAACCCTAAGTTGATCCATCAATTGATCAAAAAAGTATTTATTAAGCACCTACTGTAGCATATGCCAAGCACTATAAAGACACTGAAAATATCTAAAGACAAAAATAAAACAGTCCCTGGTCTTAAGGAGTTTTGTTTCTATTGATGGAGACAACATGTACGAATATCTAAAATACGTGCAGAGCAAACACAAAATAGGGGAAGAGGGGAAGCACCAGTAGTGAGGGGGATCAGAAACAGTCTCATGTAGAAGGTGGGGCTTGATCTGAGCTTCAAAAGAAAGTAGGGATTCTAGAAGGTGGAGGTGGGGAGTGGGTGCCGTTGAGGCATGGTAGATGGCTAGGACAAAGGCACGGAGATAGGAGATAAAGCGTCACATGTGGGAAACAGCAAGAAAGCCAATATGGCTGGACAGAATGAAGAGAGTGTCGAGTGGTGTAATGTATAAGGTAGGTTACAGCTCGCTCAACAAAGCATTTAAAATTAAAACCTTGATAGCATTGCTACTCAAGAGCCACTGGAATTTCTTGAGCAGGGGAGTGACAGTCAAACCCATGCTTTAGGGAACATCGTTTGGGGAGTTGTGTGAAGGATGGATTGGAAAGAGGACCAAAGAAGTCATTGCATTAGTCCAGATGACAGGTGATGAGTGCCTGAACCAGAGTTGTGTCTGGCTGAGATGCAAGAGGTATAGAGGTAGAATTAACAAGACTTGGCAAATGATTGGACATGTAGGGTGAGGCATAGCAAGCAATGGAGGATGGCTCCACAGCTGTGTACTTGGACAACTGGAAGGATGGTGTTGCCTTCAACTGAAATGGTTAAGTTTGGAAGAATGGTAGGTTTGGGGGAAAAGAGGGAAGGCAAGGAAGGGAGCATTTGTATAGAACCTACTATGCCAAGCACTTCACAAATATTATCTTGCTTGATCCTCACAACAACCCTGTGAGGTAGTCTTATCCTCATGTTACAGTTGAGAAAACCGAACAAATAGAAGTTAAGAAGTTGCCCAGGGTCACACAGCTAGTGTTGGAGGCTGTATCTGAACTCAGTCCTTCCTGACTCCAGACCCATCACTATCCACTATGCCACCTAGCTGCCTCCCTAAAAAATAATGAGTTTTGTTCAGGTTTGAGATGTCTACAGGACACATGGTTCAGAATGTCCAATCGGTAATTTTGGGCGTGGGATTAGAGCACAGGATAGAGAACAACATGCATAAAAATAGTCATAGAACCCATAGGAGCCGAAGAGGTCATCAAGTAATAGAGTATAAGAACACTGACAAATCGCATAATTTTCCTAAATCTCACTTTCTGCATCTGTAAAATAGGGATGATAGTAGCAGAACAAATGAGAAAATGTGTGGAAAGTACTTCACAAATCCTGAAGTACTATGTAAACGTGAGCTATTATTATTTACTGTCTTGGAAGCCAATCCAAAATTAAACCTAGGTACAACTGTACGTTACCTACGAAGCCTTATCTAATACCATTCAGTCTTCACATTCCAATCTAGTGCCTTCTGTAGCAAATCCTGGATCAAGCCTAATACATGACATGGTTTATACACCTAAGTATTCTCAGTTGCATCTTGTCCTAGTTCCTTAATTTGTTGTCATTCCAGATCATCATCATCCCACTTTCCCTTCTGTCACTTAGTGTCATATCACTCTTAGGTCTGTGAATGCCTCATTAGGTGAAAGCCAGATTTTATCAGCACTACTTACTGGAGTCATTTTTGTACAAATCAGTTAGCCTGGGAGATCTTTTGAGGTCAGGATATGTGGTATTTCCTAAGAGTTTTGTTTCATTTCTTTGACTCCTTTTAGAGGTCGGAATTCTGATGTGGAAAACCATTTACCTCAAGAGACAGAAAGTTACAGGGGTGGAAACGCCTCTCTGCCTTCTCCGTTCCATGGATTCCTAAAACCCCACCTTCTACAGAAATTCCTTCCTGATCCCCCTTCATTCTAGTGCCCTCCCTCTTCTAGTTCTTTCTAATTTATCCTGTCTAGAAGCTTGTTTGCATTTTTGTCTCTCCCATTAGACTGTGAGCTCCTAGAGAGCAGAGATTGTCTTTCACCTTTCCCCAGAGCTTAGCACAGCACCTGACACATAGTAGATGCTTGATAAATGTTCATTAATTGGCTGACTAACAGGCTGAGCTACTTCTCAATCCCTAACCTTTCTTCTGGCTGCTTTGCCAACTGCACTTCAATGACTTCTCTTTCTTATATAAACATTTACTAAGTAATTGCATTAAACAATTTACAAATATTAAATAATGAATTGTTAAAACATGTATTTAATTTCTTAAAATGTAATCCTATTTTAGGGAAAAATAGAAGAGTATAGAGAAAGGGTGCAGAAGAGGATTCAGGACAGAGTCTCAGGATCTACCTCCAGTTAAGATCTTCCTATTCCTCCCTTTTGTTAATGCAAAGAATAAGTAATAATGATGATAGCTAACATTTATTTGATGCTTTTAGGCTTGTTTGCAAAGAGTTTCACAAAGATTATCTCATTTTATCCTCACAAAACCTTGGGAAGAAGATATTATAATTATCCTCATTCTATAGATGAGGAAATTAAAGCAGACAGAGGTTAAGTGACTTGCCCATAGGCACACAGCTAGTATCTGAGGCTGCATTTGAATACAGGTCTTCTTGACTCTAGGTCCAATGCTTTATCTACTGTACCACTCAGTGGTAGAAACACAGGAGTATGTATTTAATAAATGCTTCTTAATTGATTAATGGTTCACGTCAACTTCAAAGGTCTCTAGTGAAGTGCCTCAGGACTCCATCCTTGGCCCTATTCTGTTTAAAAAATTTGTGGTGACTTGGACAAAAGTATAGACCAGTGGTTCCCATTTAATGGTTTGAAAACATTTGGGGGGTTTGGGAGGAAAGTCCAAGGGGTTTTCAAGGTAAAAATTCTTTAATGATACCCTCAGCAGTAAATAATTGCCCAATTATGTTACATATGTGTGCATGTATTTCCTCTCTGACAACAAGCATGTGTATGTTTGAAGCAGTACATCTTTGTTTCTGCAGCAAAATTATCATAATCATGTACACAATGAATTTGAGATTCTGGTATTTGTGCATTGACTCACTTTGGTGTTCTTGCAGTTCCTCAGCCTGTCATCAAATTGTTTCCAAATTGTCACAGGGGTTCAACATTCTCTTGCAAACCCGTTTCCAATAGATGCTTATGCATGTGTCTAACCTCTTTGCATTACGTACACTGCACCAGAGCAGTTCCTTTGTTCCCCCACTGGTAGCCTGTAATCATACTTCATCAGTTTTATAACCACATGATCAAGATGTTATTGTTTGCATTCTTGCAGCACAAAGACAGACTCTTTGAAAGCCACAATTTCTGGACATGTGCATTATAAGCCATTCCAAAATCATCATAGACCATTACACACATTCTGCAGAAACAAATGTTATATTGCTTTTCATTAGTGTCGTCTGTTTTCTGATTTAAACTTGTTCTCCCCTTATACTGCTTGTCTTCTATCTGGCAGATTTTCAAAGTAACTGGTTGGCAACATTGGCCAGTAATTAGCAGAGTTTCCCTGAGATTGTAGGGGGTGTGCAGGTGATAGAAGAGAAGAAAGGCATAACTGAAGAGGGCCTTTCTTTACAAAGATTATCTTGTATGTAAACATTGTCTAAAATGAAACAATATATGCAATTGAACCTTAAGCATGCACTTTAAGGTTCCACATTTTGGTGAGTGTAACTCTGCTTTTAAGGCAACTTACTGGCACAGTAGATAAAAATTTGGGGCCTGAAGTAAAGAAGAACATCTTCTAGAGTTCAAAACTGACCTCAGACACTTACTAGCAGCGTGACCCTGGGCAAGTCATTTAACCCTGTTTGCCTCAGTTTCTCATCTGTAAAATGAGATGGAAGAAAATAGCAAACCACTCCAGTATCTTTGCCAAGAGAACCCAAATGGGGTCATGAAGAGTGGAACATGACTGAAAAACAATTAAACAACAACTTTGCTTTTGAGCAGGCATAGTTTGCCTAACACTTGGTATTTCCCCTACCTACCATGTGGGTGCGGTAGCCTCCTTTGGTTGGCTATCTGTGTCTTTAAAACTTGTTTTAGAGAGAAGAGTTATCTGGAGGTATTAAGAGGTTAAATGACTTGCCCAGTGCCACATAGATAGATATGCCTAAGAAGTGGGTTTTGCCAATGCAGCTAAAATAAGAAAA